TTTTTTTTAAAGTAGGGTCCCAGGGTTATCATTACAATATTAAATTTTAATCACAATTGTAATGATAACCCTGAGACCCTACTTTAAAAAAAACAGTTTTTATTCTAGTTTCCATTTTAATGTTTTTAGATAAACAAAACTATCTTCTTACAATAGGACAAAACCCACAGACCATTTAGTAATAAGCAATCAAGCATCATTTGAAGCCTGTCTCTTTTAATTCAGAGCTGATTTCCTAGTGACCCATTTGAAGCAGTAGTGCCTGACGTTGACATCTGGGAACCTGACACCATTGGTAGAAGAGAATCAAGCAATTTTGTACACATGGGGAAAACTTTTGTTTTTACTGGAAAGCTGTCAAAACTGTATCCCTTAAACACTAATACCTCAAATGTTAATGTTTGCAACAAAGAAGTATTGGGCAGATAGGGAGTAAGCAAAGTTAACCAGATTTCTTTAGTACTGGACATATAAAGTACAGTTTAAAAATATTTCTCAAATATAGATCGTGGAATATTTTCACTAGGGCAGAGTCATTAACTTTTGGTAAAGTACATATTCTTTGGAATATTTACTGTAAGAAACACTACCCTAGAGAGAAACACTTAGGTTATTAACTCAGTATAAATAGTTAAAACACTTCCTACTACATTTTAAAGCTTGGAGGTATAGAGAGATTAAGAAATAGCCCCTGCTCTCAAGAAACTCTTGGTTTAGATGGGAAGCAGTAAGGTAAGTACAGCGCACCATTGGTCAGTACTGTAATGGAAGCAAAGACTTCTTGGAAGACTTCAGCGTTTGAAGTGAGTTTTGGAGAATAACTTTGCAGGTAATTATGTTGAAGAGGTGTAGAGGACGGGCATTTCCAGAGAAAGAGCAGCAGGTGAAAACTCTAAGGGCTGAGAAGGAAGGGGCCACTTTTTATGTTCCTTCTATATTATGTGTTTAATGGCAGAGGATCTTTCATAAGTTTTTAATTCAGTTTAGAAGTATGTAATTTTGTAACATATCGTTTTTGCTGTTTACAGCGAGGCCTAACACTGCTTTTGCTTGCTGTAAGTGAAACAAATTATCAGATGGTGAAGTATTTTCTAACTGAAGGAGCAAACGTACATGCTGTTAATTGTTGTAAAAGGTACAGTATTGTTTTAAACCTTATATTGCTCTAGCATTATGACAAACACTCAGATCGGAAGATTAAATTAAGAGGAGGATTAATTGGTAATTACGTAGTGAAAAATATCAACACATCATTAGTTCATAGAAAAGCAATGATTCTGACTAGGCAGCAGTCTATACAGCAGGGTTCTTTTACAATATTGGCTGATGACATTTGCAATCTGATTTTTTTGCTCATATGATTTTTAGATTAGCTAAAGGATGGGTTTCATATTGTTTTTCTAAAGTAGAGACTCTTTAGTTTAAAGACATAATTTTGAACTTAACCCCTTTATAGTATTTTTTGACATCTACTTTACATATATTTTTCCCTAAAAGATTGTTATGCATAAAGAGGAAGTGATTTTTGTCTTTTGGATGTGTCTTTGCTTTAAGTTTCTTTCTTTAAAGGATACTGATGTTATTAGGTTATTCCTGTGGCTGTTAATGACTATGACCAGATACTATGGGCTCATCAGTTTTTATCCTTTTTCATTTCTAGTATATTTTGATATTTTTATTTTTCATTGGTATGCTAGAAGGAAGAAAGATAGCTTTAATTCAACAAACTTTCCATTTACTGAAGACAAGTCACAGGTGGGTGATAAAGAGAAAAGAGGTGGGCTTTAGATTCTCACAAGACTGGGTGTAATGCCTAGCTTTCCTGCTTGCTAGGTGTGTGACCTTGGGAATGGTACTTATCAGCACGAGTATGTTACCTGATATGAAAAAGAGGATGACAATATATCCTTCAAGGGTGGTTGTGTATAAGTAAAATTATAGATATAGTGTTTAATTTAGTGCCTAGCACATACTGAGCATCTTAACTACAACTGTGAATATTACCATTACTAATATTATTGTTATAAGCCTGCAAATAGCTTTAATGTATCTGACCTCTGTCTTTTTGAAGTATAATATGTCAGACTAAGGAAGAAATGAAGAAATCTTCATTTAAATCCTCACCTACCTCAGGTAAGTGACCTCACCATAGTTTCTTGTCCACCAGAGGACTTAAAAGTAGCAACTTCTACTACCTAACAGCCAAGTGGGACAAAAGGCTTCCTTTTTGTTCCTTCCTTTTAGTTCCTTCCTTTTAGTTCCTTCCTTTTAGTCTTGAGGTAATTTACAAAGATGAACCCTTGAACATGTGAATGGTCAGTTCTACACAGGCAAGATTTAACTCGAAAAATGTATCAAGTTAGCTATTTAAGTAACTCAATTAATTAAGTAACTTAATTAAGGTTCCTAAGGGTGAAGTTATTTCTCTGCTATTTTAGAACAGCACTCACGCTTACTGCAGAAAGGGGAGCATCAGATACAGTCAGGCTGCTTCTTTGCAAGATATTGATGTCTTTGCTCAAGATATTTTTGGATGGACTGTAGAAACACATGCTCATCTTAGAGATTGTGATATGTAAGTATTTACATTAAAATGCTAGCTACAACTCAGCTGAGGCTTAAAATAATTTAACGGTCACTCAGTATGTAACAGGTGAGATTTCATAGTTCGGTTCAGGTAGTTTTGGAATGGCAGTGAGTTAGTCTATGTCATTAGCCAGAAACCCAGCAAAAAGCTAGACTAGCAGTAGCAGTGTGCCCAGTTCTTTATCACAGGGCTTTTTTTTCATGGTATCATTAATATAAAATGATTTTTATTATGGTATCATTAATATACATGGGCAATATTGTGGTTACTAGATTCCCCCCAACATCAAGTCCCCACCACATACCCCTATTACAGTCACCGTCCATCAGCATAGTAAGATGCTATAGAGTCACTATTTGTCTTCTCTGTGCTATACTGCTTTCCCTGTGCTCCTCCCCACCACATTATGTGTGCTAATCATAATGCCCCTTAATCACCTTATCCCTCCCTTCCCCCACCCTCCCCAGCCCCTTTCCCTTTGGTAACTGTTGGCCCATTCTTGGGTTCTGTGAGTCTGCTGCTGTTTTGTTCCTTCAGTTTTGGCTTTGTTGTTATACTCCACAGATAAGTGAAATCATTTGGTACTTGTCTTTCTCTGCCTGGCTTATTTCACTGAGCATAATACCCTCTAGCTCCATCCATGGTGCAAATGGTAGGATTTGTTTTCTTCTTATGGCTGAATAATATTCCATTGTGTATATGTACCACATCTTCTTTATCCATTCATCTACTGATGGACACTTAGGTTGCTTCCATATCTTGGCTATTGTAAATAGTGCTGTAATAAATATAGGGGGTGTACATAAGTCTTTTTTAATCTGAGAACTTGTTTTCTTTGGGTGAAGTCCTAGGAGTGGAATTCCTGGGTCAAATGGTATTTTGATTTTAGTTTTTTAAGGAACCTCCATATTGCTTTCCACAATTGTTGAACTAATATACAGCAGTGTAGGAGGGTTCCCCTTTCTCCCCATCCTCATCAGCATTTGTTGTTCCTAGTCTTTTAAATGTTGGCCATCCTAACTGGTGTGAGGTGATATCTCATTGTGTTATTAATTTGCATCTTTTCATGTGCCTGTTGGCCATCTGAATTTCTTCTTTGGAGAATTGTCTGTTCAGACCCTCTATACATTTGTTAACAGGGTTGTTTGCTTTTTGGGTGTTAAGGCATGTGGGTTCTTTATATGTTTTAGATGTTAACTCCTTGTTGGATATGTCATTTACAAATATATTCTCCCATACCTTAGGGTGCCTTTTTGTTCTACTGATGGTGTGCTTTGCTTTTTAGTTTAATGTAGTCCCATTTGTTCATTTTTGCTTTTGTTTCCCTTGTCCAAGGAGATGTGTTCAGGAAAAAGTTGCTTATGTTTATATTCAAGAGAGTTTTGCCCATTTTCTTCTAAGAATTTTATGGTTTCATGACTTACATTCAGGTCTTTGTTCCATTTTGAGTTTACTTTTGTATTTGGGGTTAGACAATAATCCAGTTCCATTCTCTTACATGTAGATGTCCATTTTTGCCAACACCAGTTGTTGAAGAGGCTGTCATTTTCCTATTTTATATGCATGGCTCCTTTATTGTATATTAATTGACCATATATGCTTGGGTTTATGTCTGGGTTCTCTATTCTGTTTCATTGACGTGTTGGTCTGTTCTTGTGCCGGTACCAAATTGTCTTGATTACTGTGACTTTGTAGTAGAACTTGAAGTTGGGGAGCATAATCCCTCCAGGTTTATTCTTCTTTCTCAGGATTGCTTTAGCTATTGGGGGTCTTTTGTGGTTCCATATTAGAGCTATTTGCTCTAGTTCATTGAAGAATGACATTGGTATTTTGATAGGGATTGCATTGATTGTAGACTGTAGATTTATTTAGATTAATTGTAGATTTTTTTGGTCAGGATGGCCATTTTGGCAATATTAATTCTTCCTCTCCATAAACAAGGGATGTATTTCCATTATTGGTATTTTCTTTAATTTCTCTGATGAGTGTCTTGTAGTTTTCAGGGTATAGGTCTTTCACTTCCTTGATTAGCCTTATTCCTAGGAATTTTATTCTTTTTGATGCAGTTGTGAATGGAATTGTTTTCTTGATTTCTCTTTCTGTTAGTTCAACATTAGTATATAGGAATGCAACAGATTTCTGTGTATTGATGTTGTATCCTGCAACTTTGCTGAATTCAGTTATTAATTCTAGCCATTCTGGAGTGTATTCTTTAGGGTTTTCTATGTACAATATTATGTCATCTATACAGCAGTCTGAATCTTAAAAGATGAAAAGGAGTCTGTCAAATATTAGAGTCAAACATTTTGCATAAATGGAAGGGTATACTCTAATAAAGGCGTGAAAGATAATAATTTTGAATCCTTACTAATGTAGCTGAAGCTTAGCATGTTGTTAAAATGGTGCAATTCTGAGGTAGAAAATAGAGTATGTTATGGCTTTATATGTTTCTACAGTATTTTTAAATTTTGTTTTGTTTCTGATCGTTTTGTTTATTCATGTTGTTGAAAGGATTTTTTAATGAATCTTTGAGATGTTTCTATGCTTTTAAGCTGGCGATTTCTAGTATTTCCCAAATATTTGTTGAAGTTGTGGACAGTTTAGAAGTACTTCCTAAATAAGTAAATATTCAGCTAAAGATTAAGCTTAATTTAAACTCTCAATTGATAAAATGTTATTTTATATTTTTATTTAAGATTATGGCTTTTATTGAACCATTCCATGTAGTTCAACTAAATATATCCATTTGTCAGCAGAACAAGACTTAGAAATTACATCAGTGGAAGAAGAAAGCCCTGATGGAAGTGAATATATCCACCCACCGGTATGTAAAATTTTTAATTTAATTTCTTGTTTTTTTTGCTATGCTTTAATATTGTAACATAGTTCAAATGAAATTACCTTTTGAATTTGCATTTCAGAGTCAATAGATCATCCCTCATTAAGAAGTCTGTAAATCAATGAGGAATGTGATAGAATATATCTCTCTCTATTCAGGTCTTCCTCATGCAAAAGTGTGAGGAAATGTGGATCAAACTAGGCAAATTGAGTAAAAAAAATAATTTAAAACTCATCACAAATGAGTTAAAGCAGAAGTTTCATAATTCTTAGGAAAAAGAATTGTAGGCATTTTAATATGTCCAAATATATGCTGATCTAAGGCTCTTACTCCAGGGTAACTGAATAGTTTAGATTTTAGACTATAAAGTCAATTTTTAAGTGTAGTTTTGCTTTATTATTCTTTTAATTTATGCATTCTGAGTTGTAATTTGGGGAAAGGCCTTTCTAATTCTGAGATTCTTGAAAATTCTCAGTTCTTTTTTTTACTCTCATGGGTTCATTGTCTGCAGTTAAATTTTTGAACTGTTGGTAATTTATTCCTGTATAAAGTTTGATGTTTGGATCCAAAATTTTTTTTCATACAGTGTCAAAAGAAGATACTTGAACACAAGTATCAAAACAAACAAAATAAACTGAAGAAATACATCAGAAAGCAGGAGTAGTCAAAAGAGAGATTATCTCAACTACAACATGAAAATGAGTTGCTCCGATAGGAACAGGATGATTCTCAGAACAAAGCTGAAGATAATAAAAAGACACTACTTAACATCCTAAACCTGCTTGAGGAATCTGTATAAGAACTTCAAAGTGTTTTATGCTAATAGGAAAAAGTAAAGAATTAATCAATGGTTGTAGTCATCTCAAAGAAAGAATGAATCAAGATGAAAATAAGGAAAGAGAACAAGAAATAAGTATCTAGGAAAATAAATATTTTCAAACTTCCTGAAAGAAAATTCAAAGTAATATTTGATTATGGAAAAATGTTGAGTCTAGTGGATATAAAAAGAATATAGACTATAAATCAGCTTAAAAGCATACTTTGTATCCAGCAAAAAACTTAGACCTGGCAGGTGCTTATTTTGAAGAAAGACATTTGTGTGACTATGAAATTTTAAGAGGTTAAGTTATAAATTTTTACTGATAGTCATAATTTAGTCTTATACTGCTAAAATAATAATTTTAATCTTTGTGTCATCACATTTTAATACCATGATGAAACAGACAGGTGGAAATGCTCATACTTAAAATGAACCTCTAGATTCAATTAAGTGGATCACCTTGACAGTTATTCCACATTTCCCAGATGAGATGAAGGGCAAATGCTGTATATGTCACAGTCCTTTTCCTTCAGTAGCTTTTATACATTTTTAGTTTGTATAATTTTATTTTGATTCATGTCAATTTGAATTTGATTTGGAAACATTTTAGTATAAATCATGTATTCTTATGATCTCTAACTCTTTAAAGGTATCTACTTTCCAGTACATCATAATTTGGGACAAATGTGCTGAGGTATAGCAAAACAACACTTGATTTAATCTTCCCACTTCTATTTATAGTTTTCCTCAAACATTTTTACAAATAGTTTGCTCACAATTCTTATTTCAAGGAGAAATGTAGTTGAGAGATTATAAGACCTAGGTCTGTACATAACAAACTTACTAGACGTAAGTGTGTCCAGTACAAAGAGAACTGTAACTGTCTGTAATTGAAGCTCTTTTTCAGACTAATCGACAGCGGCAGGATTCGTGTATAGCAGGAATGGAGTGTGTTATAGGAGCCAAGGTCAGGGAGGCAGGCAGACGCCTGGTTACCGGGGGCCTGAGTCCCACTGGCATGACTTCACATTTATTCTCAGATGGGGATCTTTTGGACGGACTCGAGCAGAGGATTCAGTATGTGAGGAACTCTGAAGTCAATTTAGGTTACTAGGAAAAAAAGAGAAAACTTTTCATGAAAAATTTACCACCCAAGTCCCATTCACATGCCTATTTTTTTTTTTTTTTGAGACTTCACTAGGTGGTAAAGCTCTGCAAATTCTTATTGGGGGGGAGTGGATAGTGGGGCTGAATTCATTGTCTTAAGGACAGAATATTGATTAGGCAGGAGGACACACCAAATTCAATAAACAGGAATGTGTATGCATGAGGAAAAGGTGACTTGATGAATGCGGTGATGTTTTTCAAAACATCTATGTTAGAGTGATATATTATTAACATAATTTAATAATGTGGTTTACAAAAACAGAAATATCTTAAATGTCTTATTAGGTAGTTGTGAGACAACTCCAGCAACAATAGGATGACACCGTAATACAACCTAAGTTAGAGGCTTCACTAGAGGTTACATCACATTGCCATATTAATGTCCGACATAAGACATGGTACTTAAGGAAGAAATTAAATAAATTCAGTAGTCGAGTATGTATGAAATTAAACATATCAACATTTAATCTAGAGCTGATAGACAGTGTTTTAGAATATTAATTTCTGTGGATAGCTTTCTTTTATATTTTCATTATAATAAATTTATTATAATTTTACTGTCTTTATAATGTACTTACTTCTTAAACTCTGACTTTAGTCCTGCTATTTATATTACACATTTTTTCTTACATTTACCCTCAGATAAAGCTGAGGATTATGCATCATTCCTCACATCAGTTGAAACTTTGTCTTTTTAGTACCAAACATTGTTTTTTTTATAGATCTCACTTTGCCATGATGAGGGAAGCCAGATAAAATCAGATGATAAAGTTTAATGGAATGTTTCAGAAAATTGTCATTTTTCAAATCTTCACTGTTGTGAATGGATATAGAATCTGTGTACATTTATTTCATAGATTTCAGAATAATCTGTACAAAAGGTCATTCTATAAACCAGTTGAAATTAAATACTTCTATCATTTCCTTTCCCCTTTAGATACCCTGTAAAAATGTAAATTGTAATTATGTACAGTATGTACCCCAAAATAGAGAATTAAGAAAATCAACTACATCCAGCCATTGGACTTTCTTAAGTTTTATTGAGATACAATTTATACACCATAAAATTCACCCATTTTAAATGTCCAATTCAGTATGTCTGAGTAAATTCACAGACTTCTGTAACTGTCCCTGAAATCAAGTAGAACATTTTCATCACCCCTAAGGGAAAGCCCCATCCCTTAGCCACCACCCCCACCTCCCATCTTCCCCAGTTGCAGGCAGCCACCAGTCCACATTCTATCTCCAAGGTTTGCCTACTCTGGATATGTCATACAAGTGGAACCACAATTTGTGGTCCTTTGTGACTAGTTCTTTCACTTGACATAAAGTGTTCAGGGTTCATCATGTTACAGCACATATCAGTACTTCATTTCTTTTGTCAACAATACTCCATGGTGTGGGGTAGCCACTTACTCATAAGTTGATGGACCTTTGGGTTGTGTCCACTTGTTGACTGTTAATAACGATGCTATGAGCATTCATTTGCAAGTTACTGGGTGGACATAGGTTTTTCTTTCCCTGCCACTCGATTTTATCCTGAGTTAACTGGGCTGATCTCACCATCTCTTGACCTTTTCTCACGTGTCCTTTCTGTTTCTCAGTTTCTGACCCTCTTGCCCTAATCCTGAATTACTCAAACCTGCTCATACCTCCGTTCTCCTGAAGCTCTAACTGTTCTCATTGGCCTTTACCCTCATTGGCATTTATCATCTAGTCTGTGCAGAACAATCCATCTCCCTGCAGATACATTTTGGACATATACATTGTCTCTGTTTCCTCTACTTAAAGCAGTTGGTTTTATAGATTTCTGGAAGGATGGTAGCATGTGTTTCTCCCTTTAAATATTTCAGTTTCTATGATTAATTTTACAAAATTGATCTCTCAGAATGATTCTCACTAGATAATCATTTTATTTTTAAGACTGTTTGGTATAAAACTAATAAGAGGAAAAGAAAACTTGTGATTTAAAAATTGTGCCATACTCTAGGATAATATTATTTACTTTAGAATATCTTAAACAGATTGTTATTCTTTGAATTGTCATATGAGTACTAAAATGATTCAAATTTATTTTTATAATGCAGATTTAATTCAATTAAGGTTCTAATAAATATATTAAACTTCAGGTCTTTTTTTAACATTTAAAATTGCTCTCTGAATCATTGGCTCAAAACTAAAGAGAAAAATATGCTCTAATTATTCACATTATAGTTATTTAAAAATGTATTATTTTAATTTGCTTTAGGTAGGATGAGCACCACAAGAGAAGTTAGAGCAGTTGAGAGAGAATGATGACGCTTCATGTAGAAGGCAAATGGAACTCCGAATTAAAGATCTGGAATCTCAACTCTCCAAAAAAATTTCTCAGGAGGACTCTATTAAAACTGAACTGGAGAAATATAAACAATTCTACCTAGAAGAATTAAACATTATGGAGTCATTGGCAAATCAACTAAAGTATTTCAAAACAGAATCAGAGAAAATAAATTAAGCTTATTAGATTGCCTCTAAACCATTATTTCTATTGAGCCAGGTTTATAAGATTAGTAGGAAGTGAAAGCTAACTGGATAGTATATTCTGGAAAATGATGTTTGTAAGTGAACTTATCTTCAAGATGTTTGTCCAACACAGTTTGTATCTCTCTCCCTTGTTTTTAAATGACTTTATTTTTCCCTTTTAGTTTAATAGTTAACCTGATCTACTAGTCTTGAAGCTCAGTGTTTTTGAAGCTTTGTAACTTAGTGATATTATTATAAAATTGCTTCCTAAAGAATTCCACTAAATAGAAATATTAATGAGTTTAACTCCTTTTTTTGGAAGATTACATCTTAAACTCAAAGGGCCAAGTACTACTACTCAGCTGTCTTGCCTGAGGGTTTCAGCCCCAGGCAAGTTCACTATGGATTCAGTGAGACTGAGAAGTGACAATGGGACGTTCCTAGGGTTAAAGGGTTTCTACCTGGCTTTTTTCTCCCAGCAATATTTGGACACTAG